ATATAGTGTATTTAAAGAAATAAATTTGTAATCAAACAAAAATTATGTTCATTCCTTGTAATTTAATACGAATGTTAATAAATATTACCAAAGTAACAATAGTTTAATTGTTTCAGAAATTTATGTCCATCAGACAGAAATACAATCCATACCTTCTCTGGAGTCTATAGGAACATCCCCTCCATGCGGTATCGGCAAGGCGATATCGGTCCGAGAAAATGCTTCCAATGCTCGAAGCCACAGCATCATTTAGATGAACATTCGCATTCCGTGAGTGGTGATGAAGGATGCAACAACCGTTGAGTTTGCAAGGCATGCAAACCGAGGCAAAACATCAATCGGCAACAATAATGGTGTATCGTTTGATATCTTACAGGTAGACAACCAATCGGGCAACGATCAAGTTGATCTTTCTTCCTAAAAAGAAGGATTCCTCAGGCGGGTGGGTACTGCCTCCTTCTGAACAATGAGATATTGCGCCATTGACTAGTGCTATAGAAATGTTTCCATTGACTTTGCCTTTGATGTGGTATACGTATGTTTCATTAACATTTATTATAGTGATGACTGTTCGTCTACTAAAAAAGGATTGTTATATCAATTTCTCTGTAGTCATCTCGACTAATTTCTACCCATTTGTTTTCTTTGTTAAATCATAAGTGTTTTAGCATTTAAATTCACTGCGCTTTCTCTACGGTAGTTAGTTTTCTTTATAGTTTGATGGTAGTGATCACAGAATTATGAAAACTTGCACAGGATTCACTTCTCCCTGTAGCACGTCACAGAGTTTTTGATGTAAAATAGTTCATTAAGCTTGTCTGCTAGGGAGCAAGGGCCCTAGTTAGACACTCGACCCCAAGAGTTGCCGTATTTCATTGCGGCTGGCTCCGGCCACTTGCGCTATAATGATGGTAATGCATTATACTGGCGCAAAAGAAAGTTTCGTAAGCGCGGGCGAAAGGAAACGAAATAATTATTTTGTTATTTAAGTTAATATGGTTACAGACTGATTTAGTGATTGCAGACGCCTCAACTGCTAAGATAATTGGTTCTGTAGTGTAGTTCAGGTTTTCCTCGAGAGGTGGTGATTTTCCCCATCCGGATGGTGAGACCTGGTGCTTGCATACGCAAGCACATTACGCATCTTTCTCGAAATTATATATTTTTTATTCTAATAACTTCATTTCTTAATAATTTCAATGAAAACGAACTCTTAATGCGAAAGTAATTTTAATAGAAAATCATTTAATAAAAATTTCAAATAACTTAACAGTTATAAAAGCGATGCATGTGCATTGACGTAATAGAATATTTCAGGTCCTACCTATAAAACAATTTTTTTCTTTGATAGTGACTAAAACAAAAGTACAGAGATTACACAGAGAGCAAGATCCCAGAAATGCAGCTTTCCAGCTGACAGAATGCATAACGACAGAAACAGCTGACAGAAAACCGTCTCGGGTAAATATTAATATTTTCTATTTCTGACTCAACATTTGGAATATTTGTTCGATAAAGTATTTATTGTGTAAATAACCCCATGTCATTTATTGGACAATATGCTTTAAGAGTAAGAGACCAGGCCATTTTGAGATAATCCACTCTCATGTTATCTAAAAATTAAATGCTCTTGAAAAACAAACAGGCGACGCGTATTCATTGCGTTTTTTTAATGTACTTTGCACTAAAATCTTAGTTTCTCGTAAAAATGCTTATCTGGGTTCACAGCTTATAAAATCCTTTACATTTGTTACAACGCCCATGGAATTTTCAACTGTTTGCAATGCAACAAAGAACCAGGACTCCATGGCTTGTGACCATCGCGCCGGAAATGCATCAAGAGGAGATTGACGAGGCGTGTAATACAAGGGCGCATCGGTTCTGAATGTCTCCGCTTAAAACGGCAACGCCATTTTCTCATCTTCAGATAATTCTTGGGAAATAACATGCTTGTTGCACAATACATCGCGCTTGGCAATTCATAGATGAAATAAAAGAATTCATTTGTTAACGAAATTATTTTATACTTTTTTCATTATTTTAGCGTCAATCTCTTACCATTGTGGCTTCTTTGCCGGGGCAATAAATCAGACGTAAACGGTTTGTAATTTATTGAGTATTTATTTGAAATATGCTCCAACGCATAAATACCATTTACAATAATTACAATAAACAATATTGACCCGTTACTAGAAGGAATGTTCCTAGTCATCACCACCACTCGCCTGATAATTAGATATCTTATTCGGTGTGATGCACCAGTAGCGTACGTGAGCATACAAGCGAGTATGCCGCACATCCCGTCTCGACGTAGCACGCCGGCTTGAGTTCCCCGCCTCAGTAGCCTGTGCATTGAAATGCAGGGCCGCGCACAACCCACACGACTTCCTACCGACGCGCCCAAGAATCGGAAGGAGTTTAGGTCCATTACCTTCTGGGCCGGCTGACGGAACTGCGTCATCTCGCTGTTTCTGCCGACGCATTTCCGCAGATGGCCTGTCTACGGGGTTCACACGTTTGCCGCAAGTGTCTACGGGGTACACAAGTGGCCACCCACGACACAGCACCCCTTCCCTTCCGCTCCCTAGGTTTGCCATTGTTCAGCCCAGCGTCTCTTCCGCCAGCGCTGTCCATGATCATGAAATGCACGTGGCTGATATTTGTCACGTTTGTACAAGGCGACTGCTATGACGCCACACCGTATCACTTATATTTTCTTGGATTGTATTGCTACGACTAATGACTGCAGAGCTCAAAGTATGCAATCAATGTCCTACTATTATTTTAATAAGAATACTTGTTTCCAGATTTACGAAGTTAATTCGCGGTGGCACTTGCTGCCTGCAAGGCATTGCTCCGGCGATACATCCTTGGGGCTACAGACAACTAGCGATCAATAACACGGGGAAGGCCAAATTGCCCCTTTAGCCGACCTTACGAACATGCTAGTACGCTGCTCAAACCCGTTGTGTGCCACCAAGTAAGGCAGTTTGCATTATAAGGCTACACAACACTTGTCAAAATCATGGTCCAGTTCGACCGCCTCAGTTTATGTAGGTAGGGTTTATATAGTGTCCAGAAGACAGTGCCCGATGTCCTTCCAGGAAGGTAAGTTTATCAAGGCTGTAAATTCAAAATGTTGAACCATACGCCGAGCAGTAATGGTACTATGTTGAAGGCCATGGTATATTTTTTGCATCTGAATTCGCACGCACGCTCCCATCCTGCCAGCAGATTCTTTCGGGAATTGAAACCGTCACCATGTCGCGCGGGCGACTCCAATTTGCATTTAAAATATTGAGTATTCGGGGTTTCTAACAATTTTCCTCAAGCTGATCTCTTGACAGGATAAATTAAGAAAAATGTTATAGTACATACACGCAGACCTGCATGTATATATAATATATTATATTAGGCGTTTTAGTGACCGTTCCCAGAAACTTTTTCTTTGATGGGGTGGATGTTTAATGAGGAAGCAAGCGATCTTTCAATGAGTTTCATTGAATATGCTTTATACCGGTAAGATAATGAATCTCCCAACGTCTTCTTTAAGAAATTACCAACCATTTAATTTATACCTTAAACATTATTTTATAAAGTTCAGATAGAAAGCGTTGTTACTCTTTCAAAATGCGAAAATACCATTGCATAAGCCTACTCTAATTGTAATTACTGTTGTCGAGAGTTGTTCGAAAGATAGTAAGGAAAATGACCTAAAAAAGACTACCGAATATTTAGTTTTAAATACAAGCGTGTAACAATAATTTATACCAATTCATTTCCATACTCTTGTGTAGACTGCTATATTTTTCTGTTTTTTTCGTTCAGAGAACTACAAATTTACTAAGATACGTAAAATTTGTATTATAATAGTCACACCATTACAAACAAAAATGTTCGACTGTTACCAGAAAAAGTAAGGAAATGGTCACAAAATGTAAAAAGTGCAAGTGAAAATTTAGAAAACTTCAGATCAGTTCTATCAAATATCAATGATTGAAATGAAGCTTACATTTTAAGCACCCTGCGAACAAAGTTTTCCGCTAGTTTCCGAGGCACTGCTATCTCTTCAATCAGCAAAAGCAATCCAATATAGTTTTACTATGAGAGGAACATTAAAGAACTGACCAAAACCTTGCATTTTTTTGTAGGGTACCTATCAGTAATGTTAGTTTCATTAAGTAGTTAATCTTCAGCATCGCTTAAAAAGGCAAAGAGTATTCATGATACTCGTATGAAGATTTATATTTCAGAGTGGCACATTCGTGAATTATTTCTGAAAACCTTGTCCAAACAGCAGGTTCTTCTGATCATAGTGTTCTTCAGATCACCGTGTCTTCCGAACACCGTAGGATTCAGATCAGATGCAACAGTTCACTTTTAAATTTACGTGTATTGGACTAACTTATGACCACCTTCCGAATGCGTTATTGAACGCGAAAAGCCAGTTGCTTCACAAATCGCGATCTACCGTTACAGCAACACGTCGACTTGAGATTGCTGCCCGATGACCAACATCCAGGCGTCTGACAGGATTTCTCCGCCTGCAACACACTGTCGCGAAAACAGTATAGGTTTGCTAATTTTCTTGGAAAAATAATAAAAGACATGTCACTAAGATTAAAAGGTGATTAAAACGCTGCACGATTATAAAATAAGCTTTCAATTCAGCCTTCTTTGCGGGGTTAATTTGCAATTTAAGATTTAAAACTTCTTGAAAAAGTAGTAATCGATTGATAATTTAAGTTAACATATACCTACAATATTATTCACATAATGCAGCTCATAAAAGAAAGCGATCTATTTCTATGATCAGTCGTATGTAAGCAGCTCCGCTCTGGGAACGGCCACAAATGCCGTCGTCTATCGTATATAACTTGTTCCACCACTAATGGGCCACCCCAACAACATCTAGACGGTTCAGCATTTAAATGCAGTTTTCGCTGAACATAGCTGAATCCAAGGGCAAGTAACATGCCTTAGCGAAATAGTCTATAATATTTTTAGTTTTCGAGAAATTTTATCTTTGATTTTTTAAATGGAACTATGTACTTTTCTTACCAGCGATGGATAGATCACGAACAGATTAATAAAATTTACAATAAGTTAGTATTTCGTTAGTAATTTGAGTACAAAATTAGACTCCTGCATGTGATTTTTAAGTAAATAGACAACTTCCTTTAGCAGTGATACTTTTCCCTTGCAGGTGATACTTTTTCGTGGATGTAGGAGTCTGAGCGAGTTGGCCCTGAAGGATGGAGGCGTAACTACAGCAATGGTCTCGACACGAACATACAAACATGTAATATTAACAATCAGAACGAGATATTTTGCCCCATTTGTTCATCTGAATTGAACTTTTATTTCACTAAAATTCCAAAGCAACCATTATAGAAAAGAACAATTTTTAAAAATGTAGCGGGAAGGACAATAATTAAGGTCATTTTTATACTTAGAAGAATCTAGCTCCTTGTGTTATGGCAGAAACTATGATTGCTTAAAGATTTCCATTACAATATCTCGATTAATTTATTAAATAAGATTGGAGGACATTACGTGCTGTGAATAATATTCCTATTTAAACATTTAAACATCAAAAGAATATAGTAATAAAAATGTTGAAATTCTCTTTACAGGTCCATCTGTGTAAATTTACCAAACTTTCTCCAATCAGCATTAGCAATCGCTACTGCAGATGCGCATTTTTGTTAGTCTCACTTCATTGCGTCACGTGCTGCCGCAAACTTTAAAATCCACGAAAGAAAACTAGTGTAGAGTTTTCTTTTCCCATTTACGAACAGCGGTAATCTTATGGTTGCAACGTGGAGTGATCATCTTAATTAAAAATGTAATTAACGAGGGTGGTTTAAGTATTGTGAAGTGTAATAATATTGTCATCATTCATTACGCTACCAATTTTTATATATTTCTTTAGAATGATCGATTTTGAAAAGTTCAGTAGAAGACCAGTTAAATCCAGATGAATCCATGAAAAAAATCTCTAGTTCTCATCGTTAAAATTGGTGTTTTAGTGCGACAGTGCCATGACCATGAATTGCTCTAGTTATGCCTCTTATACCCCACTGCCATCCCTCAGTCTCCCTCTCCACGCAAGTCTTGTCGGAAGGAGACCTTCCCCGAACGCGAAATAGCAAGAGCTGCTACATGAAATATTGTCCGTTTAATTCAAGATCACCTGTCAGAAAGCCTAATTTGATACTCAAATTGCAATTAAAATACCAACATATGATACACCATTGTATTCCTCTTTTCATGATCTATCCATTGATGGTGAGAAAAATATAGTTCCACTTAAAAATCAAAGAAGATTAAATTTCTCGAAAACGAAAAATATTCTATACAATTTCTCTACAGCCTGCTACTTGCCCCATGAATCAGTATTGTTCAGCGAAAACTGCATTTATATCCTGAACCGTCTAGAAGTTATGGGGGTAGTCTATAGTTGGAACACCTCTATACAGGGTTGTATTAACCGATTTCGTGGATAAAAATTTAATATTTTCCGATAGGCGAAAAATAATGGCGGAAGAGCTGAGCGAAATAGATTTTCAGGGGGGGGGACTTTAATGGAGGAGTGAGACTCGAAACCCATGGGAAGTTCCAGTCCCAAGGCTGATTGTTCAATCACCAGTGTCGAATTTGGCATTGGCCCCGAGATGCCCGTGGTACAATTGCTTTTGGTGATTTTACCGTCTGCTACAATTCAAAAGCTTACGTTCCGTCATTAAACAATTACGAGTACAACTGGCACAGCACCCGGATTCACACCAAGAAAACATTAATCAGATTGCACTAAACAGATCTTTGGTCTCCGTGACAATATTAATATTCAGTCTATTACAAATGTAAGTCGGAATTAATAAAGGACAGGACTTCCGCAAATTAACCAAATTTTCAATAGAAACTTGATTACTGCGACAATGAAGTTGAGTACGCTACTTACCTCAGCAGCCGTCTGTAACGCCTTGTGGATCCCAGGGCAGCATATTCTTCTGTTTAGAATGCTGACCAAGATCCCTTCAATTCTGGGAGGACATCCACAGGCTGTCCAAAGCACGCAAAAGACGAGTCGAGCGCGCAGATCGGGAGGTAATGTTGAGCCTGGAAGAAGGTCCATTTCCGTAAGAACCAGACTGTAGTTAGGAAACTTCAATTATAATATTCGAATAAGATACGATTCCGAATATTTTTCTTCCGTGTTTTACACAAATGTTAGTTACAATGAATTGAGGCGGATCTTATCCCGAACAAAATTGCGTTTTGAACCACATACGACCCAGCTGACCCTTCACTACGAGTGTCCAACCAGAAGGCTTTGGCTTTCAGCCTACGCGATAGACGCCCAAAGTCTAACAATTTTATGCAAAAAATACTTTGTTGAACAGTTTGTTAGAAAAACGCGGGGGAAATACAAAATACTAAATGCCCTATAATGAACTGGTCATTTACCTATTTCTTCTAAAATACCTTTAAAAAATCATTCTTCAATAATTCATCTCTTCAAGCGTTTCACTCCAATACTAATAATCTTCTACTGATATAACCTATGCTTTTGGTTTCTTATGGCTGTCGTTTTCCAATGTTGCGGCGTCCAAATCTTTAACGGGGACACATTAAAGGAAAGGGTTGAATTTACGTAAAAAACTATTCCTTAAATGCTTTGCTCTGGCTCGCATCAGACGGTATTGCCCAATTGCAAAGATCCCAAGAGATCAATATTTAAAAGAACATTAGCAACAAAGTAGGGAAAATAAAATGTGATATAAATATTTCATTTTACACAATTCTTACTCTAATCTTTCATGAGCTGCAACACTTAGAAAAATTTTGAGTTTACCTTAATTTAACAATACATTACTAATGTTAAAAACTCCCACAGTCGTGTTTTTGAGCCAACCACCAACGAAAACTAAATAGTTTATGTCAATTTCATTTTCCAAGTTCTGCCTATGAGCGATATACTGAAAATCTCCAAATAGGTTTTTATTAAAATATGCACTTTTCTGAACATCCGAGGTCTTCGTGTAAAGAGGCGGATCCAGAAACAAATTTTGGGAGGGGAAATTAAAAAAACTTGGTCGAACGTTTCAGTACAGATTATGTAAGGCACAGGCAACAGTCAACTCGCGCTGCAATATGATTTTATTCGTTTTACGATTATCCAAAAATATTGTGGCTTGAAAATTTCGTAACAAGTTAAAAATAGCAACTGAAAAAGTTTTGGGGGGGAATTCACTCCTTTTTCTCCCCATGGATCCGCGCTTAAGTTATCACACTCTCCTATAACCCAGAGGGGAGCACAATACATTTTTTAAAATTTTCATTAATAATTATAAATCTTTCAGTACTAATAATTGATCTAGTTTTAATTTTATTAGAAATAGTTTTCCGACTAATTATCAGTTGCTGGCGCTGATAATTATAAGTTTTAACTAATAACGCACAATATTTCCAGAATATATTGGTTGAAACCCCCAAGTTATGTTTAATTTAGCTTGTTTGCTCAGCTCTACATGGACTGGGAGTGATTGAAGAATTTTTTTTTTACAAACTAGGACTAGGTCAGTATGAATCGCCTTTATGAACATGGCAGATGAAGGTAAAGGAACAAGTATTAATCTAATCTCGAAATCATTGGTTGCAATTTTCAATTATACTTTGTCTATAATATGACACTGATGATTAACATTTCATTATATTGAAGTGGGACATTGGAAAGATGCCTTAAGAAGTTTCAAATGTTACCAGTTTTTTCACATCGTTATTTTCAATACCCGATTTTTAATTCCAGGTACGGGATCAAGAGAAGAAAAGCTGTTCTGATACTATGTAATATATTCATGTTTACGTCCTTTGAGGGGGACGTCCTCTGCCGTAAAGACAAGGCCACCTGCCGCAGATGCCACCTGCTGCATGGGGGCTCCGCGGCTATAATGAGCAACTTTCAATATGGCGGCGGCGGCGGCGTGCAATATCAAATAACGTTTCTTACACAATATTACCTTGATAACACTATCATTGCATTCCTCTTTGTGATGCATCCACAATTTAAAATATTAATAGTTCAATTAAAATCTAAAAGATGTCTCGAAAACTAAAAATATTAGTAATTATATCTACGAATACTACTACTTCAGTATTGTAGGTCTTAATTGTTATCATAAACAATTAAGTTTTTTGTGGCCGTTTGTTAGTGGGACACCAGTATACACTATCAACTAGATAAAAAACTCGTTAATACGTAAACGCTGCTGTAATGGCATCGGATGCACATCACTTGCCGCGCTTGGTTGCAGATGACCTCACTGTGTGACGTAACCTCAGTTTCTACAGTGTCAGATTTGATCATTCGTAATTTTCTCCGAAATATAATATAACATAATAAAATACAAATGTAAAATGGTGTTACCTGCTCTGTAAAAGAAGGTCACGGCACCGAACCCAATTTATTGCTGGCACCTGCACAGAATATTTAGTCACATCACTATCTACATTCTCTTGATTCTTTTGGGTTTCATTTATTCACTGTAAGCTATACAAATAATATGAAGTGCCTGTGTCCTGGGTATATTAACACTATCTTGCAGTTTGCTGTTATTCTGAATTTGGTGAACAAATTTATTTTTGACATAATTCTTATCACAGGCCTGATTTTTTCTATCGAGTATCGGCTAGTTACTACAAGTTCGAAATCGGGTGGATGAATGTAAATGGGAAATAGTTGCATTCGCTAATTTCAAAATTCTACTAGTCCGTAATTTTATTATACCCTAAAAAATCAAATTTACGGCAAGAACAAAAAAGTGTTTAAAACGAAGTGAATTAGGGTCAGCAAGAATGGGATTGTAGCAGTCCAAGGCCAGAAAGGTCTTCAGTAAAATATCAGTATTTCTTGCAATCATCTGCCCACCAATAAAGTGTGAGTGCAAGAGGAAAAAAAAACCAACGAATTATACAAAAGACGAGACAAAAAAAGGGGGCTGAATTAATGGTTACGAAATTCTAGTCACTGAATTAGTAACAAAATGAGTAGAATTAGTGATAACTTAATTTCTCTATACCCAAGTTATGAAGTGCGTTTAACATGTTATTCCTGTCAGAAACATTATTCCTATTAAATACTAAATGTTTTGGTATCCAGCTCTCTTACCTTCGGCGTAAATTGTACGCACTGCAGAAAACCTGGCTCGCAGCGCCTAGTTGACAGTAGTGCCACATGAAACTCAGCATCACCAGTGGCAATGCTTGGCGTCTGCGCGGGGCAGCGATGCCGACTGCCGTTAACAGTTCTCAACGGGAGAGGAGGGGAAGGGGTGAGGGGTTTGGGAGGGGAGGGCGGGGAGGGGAGATGGGAAAGGAGTGTGGCCAAACGTTTACACTAGTTTAAATTACTAGTGGCAAAGAATTTAAAACATAAAACTGTTGGATGATCTCCGTGGACATTCAGATTTTTCTTTCAAATAAAATTTGTTCCCCTACGTGATTTCTTTTATTAATGTCCTGTACTTTTTTGAAAAATCTAGTATTTTCCGCGCAATATTGCAAGCAATGTGCAATTTAAAAAAATTATAAAGATTTTTTCAAAAACAGCTCCAAATTTTTTCTTTAAATTTCTTCTAAAAATAGAGATACAATTATAATCGTAGCATTGATACGATATTCACGGTTAACTCTGAATTTTCGAAAATTCCAGAAGTATAATTTTTTTCGGTGTCTTCCTACAACTACAAAATTGAACATAAGAGATTTTTCCATCAAATAAAATGTGTTCTCCATAGTCAGTTCTTTCATTAAAGTCATATAATTTTTTTGAAACTTTTAGTAGTTTTCACGCAGTATTGCGTGCAAATGTGTAATTTTAAAAAATTACAAAAACAAAGCTTGCTCAAAAACGGCTCCAATTTTTTTTCTTTACTCTGACCCGGAATTTGGCAAGACACTTCCCTACATTGTTTCCATCACAAGTTACACCCTTCGAAACTTCAACAAGGTACTACTGGCAAACTGTGACATTAAGTAACCAAATGAATTCGACATTTGTTACATTTCCAAAGAAAACAATATTTTAATCATGGAAGTCTACCGAAGTGTGTTAAATAAAACATTCCATGCTTTTAAAAAGATTGAAGTCTTGAAGTATACTTGAGGGAGTGCACTAGTCAATAAAAATATCTTGGAAAGGCGTCACTCTTTTAATTTTTTTTTATTTTTAAAAAGTATGAAAATGTGCCGATAGAATTAACTAAACTATCCATAAGTCAAAGATAAAAAGAAACTGATACTACAGCCGATAGAAATAATTTTGATATATACACCGAAGAGCCAAACAACATGTACAGCTATGCATATTGAAACAAAGAGATCTGGAACCAATCAGAATACGGCGCTCATTTCGGCAACGACTATGTAACCACTGCCTGGCACAGTTGTTAGATCAGTTACTGCTGCTACAATGGCAGATTATCACAATTTAAGTGAGTTTGAAGGGGGTGCTATAGTCGGCTGAAGAGAGATGGGGCATAGCATCTTCGAGGTCGTGATGAAATTTGGATTTTCCTGCACGACCATTTCACGAGTGCACCGCGAATATCGGGAATACGGTAAAACATCAAACCTCCGGCAACGCTACGGCTGCAAAAAGATCGTGCAAGAACGAGGAGTGAGGAGAATCATTGATCACGTGACAGAAGTGCAACCCTTCCGAAAATTGGTGCAGATTTCAATGCTGGGCCATCAACAAGGGTCAGCACCATTTAACGAGACATTAGCGATATGGGATTTTGGAGGGCCATTCGTGTACCCTTGATGACAGCACGACACAAAGCTTTACGCCTTGCCTGGGCCTGTCAACACCGATATTGGACTGTTGATGAGTGAAAACACGTAGCCTGACCCGGCGAGTCTCGTTTCATATTGTTTTGAGCGGATGGTCGTGCACGAATATGACGACAACCTCATGAATCCATGGACCCTGCATGTCAACATGGGACTCTTCAAGCTTGTGGAAGCTCTGTGATGGTATGGGGCGGGTGCAGTAGGAGTGATATGAGACCCCTGATACGTCTAGATATGACTGTCAGGTGACAAATATGTCAGCATCCTGTCTGACCACCTTCACCCATTCATGTGCATTATGCATTCCGACAGACTTGGGAAATTTCAGCAGGACAAAGCGACTGCCCACACGTCTAGACATGCTACAAAGTGGCTACGGGAACACTTTTCTGAATTTAAACAATTCCACTGGCCACCAAAATCCCCAGACATGAACTTTATCGAGCTTATCTGGGATGCCTTTCAACTTACTGTTCAGAAAAGATCTCCACCCCCTCGTACTCGTACGAGTTTAGGGAAGGCCTTGCAGGGTTCATGGTGTCAATTACCTCCAGCACTACTTCAGACATTAGTCGAACCCATGCCACGTCGTGTTGGGGCACGTCTGCGTGCTCGTGGGGTCCCTAAACGATATTAGGCAGGTGTACCAGTTTTTTTGGCTCTTCGGTGTATACATATTCAGTGTATACATTCGTATAATAACCCGACTGACTGCACAGACAGACGGACAGACAGACGTTTTGCCGTCAATCAACTTTTTGTTATCAATGACCTACAAATCATGGATTCTGGCTACCCCACGAGTTAGAGAATTTTTTTCTACATTTAGCAACAGGATTTATCCCCTATTTCGATACCAGGGCCCATTAATATGAGTTTTTCTTCCGAAAATTCGTTGTTTTCCGACGCAAGATTATAAAACCTTTTCTTCTTAAAAGTACCTTATTAAGGACAAGAAATTAAAAAAAAAAAACATAATAATTGCACTTGCATTCTTGCCAACCTGGAGGCCGATGTGGCCGACTCAGCGACTCGGTCTGAAGATTCACAGGTTCGAGTCCCGCCATGGGCATGTTTGTCCCTTGTCTTCCATGGTGTCGTCGCAAAAGGTCTTGTGACCACAAAGCGAGGAGCCCGGAAGTGTCAAGTGTGAAAGGTCAACATGTGTCCTCCTGAGGGATATAGCGCGAACCCGTGCGGAGAGTCGACATCGAGATCCCTTGAAGCTGGAAAAAGACCCAGGAAGGAGGAAAAAAGCAGTTTAATTCTTAATACCTACCATAACTCTTTCGTTCGTGTCCGCGAACTAGATGCGGAACGTCCGAGTGTAGCTTGAGTTGTACAAAAAATCAATTCTTCGCGACGCGCATTCATCACTGCTGAATTTAATTTTCGACAGTACCTAAAAAGGGAAAATGGGAATAAAAGGTGGTCAAGGTCACCCAGTCGCGCCCTGAAGGGGCCTACACTAATAGCGCCGGGCAGCGGACCACCTGTTTGCGAAATGAGAATTGAGGATATATATAGTGAATTTCGTAACGTGAAAGTTGCTAAGCGGCCTACTTCTTTCCTAATTAATTACGATTTATCAGAGTTCCCCATTTTAAATGCATTTCTAATTTTATATATAACAGATGTATCTTCATCGAACGTGTAAGTAAAATGTCATTATTATATTATGTCCTGCTCATGATCTATTGCTACGTCATTCACTCGATGTAATTGTAATAGTATCAAGTTACAATGAACCGTAGTCAGACTGCTAGCGCGCCGTCCCGTCGAGTGCCGGGACTGCGAGGAGAATGTGCTGAACCCGAGCTCTAAGCCCGCTGCAATGCGTCACACCCGCGTACAAAATACGAAGAATCCCCCCATTATCCCCAGTCTACCGACTTCAAAAACAATGTTTATTTTCCATTTAAAACCCTGTGGGACATAAGAGGTGTGTAATTCGCGAACCTCTTTAATTCGCTCTATTCGCACCGTCTCCCCAGAATTAAGATGAGTGGTCTAGCTGGGATGACTTAGACACAACCGTAACCCCTCCTTCGTCTCTGATCACGAGACCCTAATGTTCGAGTCCTGAAGGTGTCGAATATTCGACACATTGTAGCTAGGTCGAATTCATCCATAGTCAAGAGGAAATTCTAGCTGCCGGGTTCTGTCATAGGTAGATTTCTGTTTTTTCGAACCGCGCGCGATCTTTCCTCCCTCTTCCTCGCCCGATCCTCTTATTCTGTACACACACACACACTCTTACATGCAGTATACACCCACACATGTCGGGGACTTAGATATGTTCCCTGTTGAGGCGGTGTCCTGCTGAGCGAGATACCTGGAGGAAAACCTTGCAAGCCGACTTGTAGTTCGGCGCGGTATCTCACTCGCGGTATCATCACCACCCGTGATATAACATGCAATATTCTTGCGATACTCACGACCACAGTCTCGAGGCCGAGAAACCTATATAATCAATTGGCTTCAAATTGTATTTTGCAATACAAATAGATTTTAATTTAAACACGTAATACAATTTGTGATGGAAGGCACAACAATACGATTACGATTAAATGTTTATGTGATTTTTATCTCGTACATTTTGTGTTTCAATGTTCATCGACCATTCGTGTGTTGTACCTTGGTGGTAAAGTAACTTTTTCCCTCAAAACCTTAAGATTGAGCTGATTCCGACCGCAAGTAAAAGTTATTTTATAATTGCCATACTACTATCACAAGCGGTATTTGCATGTGGTGGAAACCTCAATAGTAAGACAAAACTTTTTTTACTATAGCGAACTTTTCCTAGAGTTATAAAATCGATGTACATATGTATCCATTTTGTCTCCGAAAGGAAGTGAAAAAAAACAATTCAGAAACCGAACAAGATAATCCTCCCTAAATGTGGAAACAATGTGAATCTATTTGCAATATAATAGCTCACACGCCATCAGTACTCAGCAGCAGATCCGAATCCGCTTTGTAAACTGGCACAGTATCAAACTCTGTTCGGGGAAGAAAAATCGCCGCTACCAAAATTTCTACCCCAAAAATGCCGCTGAACTAAAACGAAACGTCAAATATTTGATGTTCCTCAAAATGACGAGAGTCAAGACCGTTTTGCCCGTCCGTAAGGCAGTAGTGCCGTTGTAATCTCGGACCGAAGGATCGCGGGTTCGAGTCCCGCTTCGGGCATGGTTGTATTTGTATTCGTCCTTTCACCCCCTTTCATCATCATATCGTGTCATCTTCACAGTTACCATACCGTTAAGCGCAATAGTGGTCGCTAATGACGTAGAAGTTGATACGACCTTAAATAACCAACAAAAAAAAAAGATCGATTTGACGAAGGTTAATGAAATACCTAGTTAATCTCTCGCTGTAACCACACATCGCCTATGGCGTCCGCTGCTGCCCGAAGACTCCTTCGATAGTAAGACTCCCGCATCTGATGAAGAACTGGAAACCATTGCCCGGAGTCTGCCCTGGACCCGCAGGGGTCGCATTAGCGTCCCCGCTTTCATCCTGCCAGAGGTGATACTGCTA